GGCCGTACCTTCCCGTAGTTCAGCATGAGGCGGCTGATAACCTCGCGCTCAACCTGCCACTCGGGCTTCTTCAGCTGCTTCCTCAACTGCTTCTTTTGACTCTGCTTATGGTTGTGCTTCTTCTTCCAGCGATTGAAGCTCCGCACCGGATCGGGCCGGGCTCCCGGACCCCGAAAGTCGGTAGTTTTGCCCATCGCGGCGGCGGCAGTGGCAGCGGCAGCAGCAGCCCAGACCACAGCACACGAGACTCCCGGGGCCAGGCGACAGGACGCGGAACCAGCGTGGGGAAAGGTAGGGGAAGGCGCATGCGCGAAACCGGAAGCCCGCCCCCGAGTTTACCCGGGGCACGCGCCGTGGCCGGCAAGGAAAAGCTGGGCGGTGATTGGTGAGTTGGGTGCCGCAGGGCGCAGCGAAGCAGGCCCGGGAAGACGGAGGCGGAGCGATCTGAGGAAGAGGGCGGGGTTCAGCCCTCGTCAGAGAGAATGGACTCTTTAAATGAGCGCTTCCGCACAGCTTGTTGTTACTATGGTTACGTCAGAACTAGTTAACACCTAAAGGCTGTTCACGCCTGCGCTGCGTTTACACATCCACAACCTATAAATGGTAATTATAAAACTTGTTTTGCATATTTCGGCCCAGGGACCCAAAGGATTTGCCCAAAAATCAAACAGCTAGTCCAGTGGTTCTCAACCTTCCTAATGCCGCCACCCTTTAATACAGTTCCTCATGTTGTGGTGACCCCCAACCATAAAATTATTTTCGTTGCTACTTCGTAACTGTAATTTTGCTACTGTTATGAATCGTAATGTAAATATCTGATATGCTATATGTGTTTTCATTGTTACAAATTGAACATAATTAAAGCCTAGTGATTAATCACAAAAACAATATGTAATTATATATGTGTTTTCCGATGGTCTTAGGTGACCCCTGTGAAAGGGTCATTTGACCCCCAAAGGGGTCGCGACCCACAGGTTGAGAACCGCTGAGCTAGTTCATAACTTCTTGTTTCTATCCAACTGCAGGGAACCTCCCTAGGAATAAAAGGTTTTCCGTTCTTCTGGCCTCAGACTCTGCAGCATCAGGTAACTGTAGCAGAGGCATACTGACTTTGCATTAACATTCTATTTATGAAGACAAAATAACTAAAAGAGTTAAGAGAAACATTATTGGCTATTTAAGTGAACTGGCTTTCAATGAGTGGTTTTCTGGCACATTTACCTAGAGTGTGCACAGTGGGACAGGAAAACAGGGAGGTTAGGTTCAAAATTCACATGAAGTGTTTGGGCTCTCAAATTCCCTTCCAACTCCACTCGACTACCCCAGCCACATGCCTATCCCTAAACAGAAGAGGGCTTTGGGGGGTGGGGGCGTGAACTAGAGAATCCCCACACTCAGGGTCACTAGATGTGGTAGAGTAAAGCTCAATAAGGAGAAGTTATATAAAAGCATAGCCCGGCCAGGTGGCTGGGTTGGTGGGAGTGTCATCCCGTGCACCAAAAGGTTGTGGGTTCAATTCCACGGGAGACAACTGATCGATGTTTCTCACATGACTGTTTCTCTCTCTTCCCCCCCTTTCTCTCTCTAAAATCAGTAAACATATTCTGGGGTGAGGATTTAAAATTTTTAACAAAAAGAATATATACAGCCCTGGCCCGTGACTCACTGGTTGGAGTGTCACCCCATGGAGCAAAAGGTTGAGGGTTCCATTACTGGTCAGGGCACATACCTATGTTTCAGGTTCGATCCCCCTATTGGGGCATGTACAGAAGGCAACTGATGGATGGTTTTCTCTGACATCAATGTTTCTCTCTCTCTCTCTCTCTCTCTCTCTCTCTCTCTCTCTTCACCTCCCTTCCTCTCTCTCTCTCTCTCTCTCTCTCTCTCAAAATCAGCCCTAGCAGGTTTTGCTTAGTGGATAGAGTGTAGGCCTGTTGACTGAAGGGCCCAGGCAAGGGTCTTACCTCAGTTGCAGGCTTAATCCCTGGCCCTGGTCGCCGTGCAGGAGGCAACCAATCAATGTGTCTCTGTCATGTTGATGTTTCTCTCTGTGTGTCTCCCCTTCCTTTCACTCTCTCTAAAAATCAATGGAAAAATATTCTCAGGTGAGGATTAACAAAAATAAAATAAAAATCAATAACAACATATCATCAAGTGAGGAATAATCCTATATAATAAAAGCCTAATATGCTAAGTGTCCAATCGTCCAGTCGTCCATTCAACCAATCAAAGTGTAATATGCTAATGATATGCTAAGGCTGCTCAACTGCTCACTATGACGTGCACTGACCACCAGGGGACAGACGCTCTGACCTGTAGGTTAGCTTACTGCTGGGGTGAAGCTGATCAGGACTGAGCAAGACAGGCTGGACACACCCTGGAGCCCTCCCGTAGTCCCTCTCCGGATGGCCAACCTCCGGCATCCCACACTGTCCCTGATCGTGCACCAGTGGGGTCCCTCTGCCTAGCCTGCACCCTCTCGCAATCCAGGACCCCTCAGGGGATGTCGAAGAGCTGGTTTTGGCCTGATCCCACAGGCCAGGCCGAGGGACCCCACTGGTGCACAAATTCGTGTACTGGGCCTCTAGTTAAAAATAAGTATAAATACATGCACAAGCCTGGCAGGTGTGGCTCAGTGGTTGGGCATCCAACTATGAACCAAGAGGTCACGGTTCGATTCCCAATCAGGGCACGTGCCCGGGTTGTGGATTCAATCCCCAGTGTGGGGCATGCAGGAGGCAGCTGATCAATGATTCTCTCTCATCATCGATGTTTCTACTAGTATCTCTTACCTCCCTTCCTCTCTGAAATCAATTTAAAAAAAATTTTTGAATGCATCCACAAAAAATTTAAAAGTAGAACTACCATATGATCCAGCAATTCTACTTCTGGATATATATACAAAGAATTGAAAGCAGGATCTGGAAAAGATATTTGCTCACCCAAGTTCATAGCAGCATTATTCACAATTGCCAAGTGTCCATCCAGGAATACAATGGAATATTATTCAGCCTTAAAAAGAAAAGAAGTTCTGACAATGTTACAATGTGAAAGAACCTTGAGGACATTATGCTAAGTGAAAGAAGCCAGTGCCAAAAAACTAATACTGTATGATCCCATTTACACGAAATAATTAGGGTAGTCAAAATCACAGAGAGAGTAGAATGGTGGTTGCTAGGGGCTGGAGGAAGGGGGGAAGGGGAGTTTTTGTTTAATGGGTATACAGTTTCAGTTTTGTAAGATGAAAAGAGTTCTGGAGATTGGTTGCACAACAATGTGAATGTATTTAATGCCACTGAACTGTACACTTACAAAGGTTTAAATAGTAAATTTTTAAAATAACTTTTTAATTTTTATGAGGTATATATACAGAACAATGAGGCTCTCAGGTTTAACTCTCATTTTTCTCCTAAAGCTGAAGCAGCCAGGCATATATGTCTCAGAGAGAAAGAAAAAAA